GACTTCTAGTAAAAGGTGAGTTTTTCCAATTTCCAGTCAATTTTAGAAAGGAAGAGAAACTCCTCCTCGAGATATCCAGTGACAAATTCAGTACATTTCGACTAAACGGTCTTGTGAAACAGGAAATGAAGAATGCTCCATACCTGATCTAGCAATGAATTGTAGTGACCACTGGTGATCGGTTAGTGGTCGTTTGGGTGGAAGACTAGTAGAGGGAACGACGCGGGTAGAGCAATTCCATCTCTCTTGAACCGAACTGCCTGATTGCAATTATGCCACTTGTATGTACGCTTGGAATACGTAGGCGCCTGAACGGTGAGTGATGTGCTCAACCCAATAAAACTCCGAGGTGGGTTATTACCGTTGTAGCAAAGCTTAGAGCAAACCCCTTAAAAAATCTCAGTGGCTATATAGCTACTGTACATACGAATAATATCACTGCAATCGGATGGTTGAGTTCTGCGAAGGATGGGTTGAGTCGACCCGCTGTATTTCCACCACAGGTCGTTCTCTACCCAGATCGATCACTAACCAACCGGTTGTAATTGGTAAAGGAGTCGGGCACATTTCGTCTGTCCTGCCACCACCGACTGATCTTATTGATCTTATTGAACTGATCTTATTGAATTCATTTTTTCCTCCCTTCTGTAAGATGAAGGGCGGTTCTAGTCCCACTGAGTCTTGGGAGGGGGGGGGGGAGGGAAGGGGCAGGGAGCTGTCATTTTTAAACTAGCAAGACGCTATATAGTTGGAAAATATGAAAAACGAAGTGAAACGGTAAAAAACCAGCGGAAAAAGCCTTCGCTCCTAGCGACGAAAGCAATTTTGGACGAGTTTCCCGTAGGCATCTTGCCAATATCCGCTACAGGTAGTTGCGGCTGCACGTCTGTACTCATATATCCATGCGGTGGGCGTTCGGGTCGGTATGTTGTAGCTTGATAGGGCCTTATAAGGGTACTTTCCTTGGAAAAGGCGCTACGCAGCGCCTGCTCAGGGTCGCGGAATTCCGTCCTGCTAGTCGTATTGATCCTAGGGATCTATCGTGAAAACTGTTTTCAATTCACCTATCACCCACCTGTTTTCACTTCTCGTCGCTGAGATTGGCATACATAACTAAAGCAGGGACTATTGGGAAGCAGAAGTGCAGTGAATGTACGTGAAAAAGAATAAACCTGGTAGTCAAGCGCTTCGATGGCAGCACTTGTGATGTCGAAAACTAGATTCAACACTCCCTCTCCCATATCATGAAGTCACTTCGTGTAACTATTTTCAGCTTGTCCGGCTGGTCTTTATGGGCCAAACTGCGCACATGAATGTATTTGCCAGAACGGGGCCGAGTGCAACGCTAAGGATGGGTCGTGCATTTGTCCGCCAGGATTCTATGGAGCAACTTGCAGTGAAGGTTTTTGATATTGCTATATATGCTCACTGCTTACATCAATCCTTGGAAGAGTTATCTTCTAAAAAATACGCCAACGTACTACGAGTGCTTTCTGTGCTTTTGATTTGAGAAAATGTCGAATACACAATCTTCCCGATCGTCTGCGCACCCTATTGTAGTGATTTTCGATTGTCTCTGCCCCAGTTCCCACTGTTTAAACTAATCTCCTAATTTTTCAATTTATGATTGATCCCCTGTGATCTTCAAGGTGATGAGAAATGTTTCGAGTTCAAAAAATATGAGTACCTTGTGACCGTAACACCAATTTTTTCAGTCTGCCCAGCAGGAAGATACGGAACGGACTGCATGAAGCTGTGCGACTGTCAAAATGGAGCTCTCTGTAGCCCTGTGGATGGAAAATGTGAATGTCGCTCTGGTTGGACAGGAGACAATTGTGAGAAGCCATGTGAGCCTGGGAACTTATGGAAAGGTAAAACATCCCACGAAACCATAGGTCTTGCTTATTAGTTTCAGATCGATCAGATTTCAGATAGAATTTATAAGAGAATCTAGAAAACTCGCCAGATAATGTGGCAGGGACACCCTAAAATGGGCGGGGCGACTAAGGTGGGGTGCTTACTCGCAATCATTCAGTACCGGTTCGCGAGAGTGTTTTGGAAGTCGCAAAAAACTCAGTGTAGAATGTAAATATCCGGCGAATATAGGGCACGCTCAAAGTGTGTTGAGACCCGCCCACAGTGGGCGGAGCTTGCCCTAAATCGCAGGGTATTCATTTTAAAAGTTTGTAGCTCGGTTCCAGAACACTCCAGATACCGAAAAAG